GGAACCAGTGTTTTGATGAGTTTCAGCAACATTAATGGGCTGTAACTAACTTCACAATGAACAGCAGAGGTTAATGGTAAGGCGTATGAATATTTTCCTAAAAATAAAASTGAAGCAATAGAAGGAATGGTTGCAAAATAATGACAAGCTATACAATCAGACCAAAACTTAGTTTGAATTCATAGAATATCAATATTCTCAGTAGAAAGGTATCTTCAAAGATCATTGAGTCCACCTCCTGATTCTACACCGAACAGCCCCAAGGACCACACTATGTGTTTGACAGCACTGTGCAAATGTTTCTTGGACTCTGGTCCAAATGTTTCTAGGACTCAAGCTTGGTGCCATGGCCATTACTCTGGGGAGCCTGTTTCAGTGCCCAGCCACACTCTGGGTGAAGAACTTCTTCCTAACATCCAACCAAAACCTCCCATGACACAGCTTCAGGCCATTCCCTCAGGTCCTGTCACTGGTCACCAGAGAGATCGGTCCCTGCTCCTTTGTTTTCCCTCACAAAGAAATTGTAAACTGTAATGAGGTCTCCCCTCAGGCTCCTTATTTCCAGGCTGAACAAGATAAGTGACCTTGGTGGGCCCCATGGCTTTTTTGTTCTAGACCTTTCACCACCTTGTTCACCCTCCTCTGGACACTCTCTAACAGCTTTGTATCTTTCCCGTGCTGTGATACCCAAAACTGTACACAGTGTCCAAAGTGACACCACCCCAACCCAGAGCAGAGTGGGACAATCCCCTCCCTTGCCCAGCTGCCAGTGCTGTGCCTGATGCCCCCAGAACAGGGTTGTCCCTCCTGGCTGCCAGGGCACTGCTGGCTCATGTTCAACTTCCATCCATCAGGACCCCCAGGGCCCTTTCCATGGCGCTGATTTCCAACCTCTCATTYCCCAATCTGTCCAYACATCCAGGGTTGCCCYRTYCCAGGTGCAGAGTCTACCACTTGTCCTTTTTAAACCTGATATGATTGGTGATAGCCCAGCCCTCRGATATGACAAGATCTCTACGCAGGGCCTCTGCCTGGGAACTTGTCCTCAGAKTTTTTTTCCTTTGCATTTTCCTCCATTTATTTGAACAGTAATGCTCTATTTAGCATCAAACATAGAATTGTGAGCATATGAACTTATCTTGGTCTATTTTGGTATCTGACAGACAAGTTCTGTTATAACAAAACCTGTTCAGTGCTTTGCAGTCTCAAAAAAAACGCAAAAGCCCCTTCCACATCTGAGCTGCAAAGGACAACCCATCTGCCTCGTTGTATGAACACTAATTGCTATCTGACACTCTTTCCTTATTGCCTTGTGGGGTGACTCTGAGCCCTTCCTCAGCCCCTGACAGTACTCATTTATAAAAATACACTGCTGGTGTGGATGTTTTAATTGTCTTGTTATGCCAGGTGACTTAGTTCTATGTAAGTGATTTTTTTTTTTTTTATGTTTCTTCCCTTCCAGTCCTCTAGGCTTTATAAGAATCTAGGGAATTTGGACTTGCCCTGGTCAGTATTTAGTCATCCTGTTCCTCAGCCAAGACCTGTGAGTCTCAAAGCCACTGAGTAAAAATATAACAGAGAAATAATTTCCTGGAGTCTGAGGCATAGGAGAGGTCAAGAGCTACAGCCACTGGAAGATTCAAGGATTGTGCCCTGGGGAGCTGTCTGAAAGGTCCTACTTCTCACCTGCAGCACCATACACTGCAGAGCCCAGTCTCCAAATGTATCATCTTCTGGCCTGCTGTGGTACTGTGGCCCCCTTTCAATACCAGCAGGACTCAGAGCATCTAAAATGAACCCTCGTATCCTGTGGCACATGGCAGTTATGATGTACCTCTTTATTGCATCCTGAGTGAAGTTTCCCTATAAAGAAATATTGATTGAAGGAAAAAAACTCATAAGGATCAATGGTTTATGTTCCAGCTGTGTTTTATGTTACAATAACAGCTCTTTGGAGAGTTGYTGCTGAGCGAGTGCAAAGTAATACCAGTAATTCCTCTCCTGTTGGATCATCCTGTACCAAATTCTTCACCATTTTCACCATTGACTCATGGACAGAAAATAGCTACCGTGTTCTCAGGGGACAGAGAAAAAAAAACCAGGGGGAGGGCAGAGGGTGGAATAGGAATAGGAAATCTGCTCCAAAGAACAAACCTTTTGGGAGAAGTGCCAGTGAGTGCTGAGGGAGGAAGTGCCAGTGTGTCCCCAGGCTTTCAAATCCAAATTTCAGTAGCTGGTAGTTAAAACACTACTGACCTAACTCATCATTGCATAGCAGAAGCTGTAGAATGGTGCATACCTAGGTAGTGGTGGGAACCCAAAACTCCATTGCTGTGAGCTTGGCATGATTGCAAACACAGAACAGTCCTGCTTTACCTGTCAGAGCTTTTACAATAGCAGCAACCTCCTCAATTGTAAGCACGTGAGGACAGAGCTATTAATGAGTTGTTTACAAAAGGATTTAATTTGTATGTCTCCATTATTAAATATTATCCATACAGAATGCACATTATCCTTCCTACCCAGGGGAAAAAAAATAGGATCTTTTTCCCTTCAGCAAGAAACAGTTTTCTTTCAAAATCTCACTCTCCTTTCTCAAACACCTCTTCCAGTCTGCATCCCTGCTTATTCCCTCCTAAACACTTGCCCTTCCCTGAGGTGACCTTCTCGATGCCCTTTCTTCTTCAGACCAGTTTCCCCTGTCCCAAGCAATGCTTATTACCCTCACACACCTCGAGTTGTTGTCTATAAGCTGGTGCAAACAGCCCCAAAGCAAACCCTCTCCATCTCCTCACCTGCTGTGCAGCACAGCCATGCCCCAGCGCTGCACATTTCTGATGCAGGGCCAAAGAAAAGTCTGGAGAACACGGCTTGTGAAGAGCAGCTGAGGGAGCTGGGGGYGTTTAGCCTGGAGAAGAGGAGGCTCAGAGGAAACCTTTTCACTCTCAACAACTCCCTGAAAAAAGGTTATAGCCAGGAGGGAGTTAGATCTCTTCTTTCAAGTAACAAGTGATAGGGCAAGAGGAAATGGTCTCAAGTTATGCCAYGGGAAGTTTAGATTTAATATTAGGAAGAAGTTTTTTGTTGTCAAGCTTTGGAACAGGCTGCCCAGGTAAGGGGTGGAGTCATCATCCTTGGAGGTATTTAAAAGATGTGTAGATGTGGCCCTTAGGGACTTGGTTTGGTGGTGGATTTGGGCACTGGGTTCATGGTTTGACTCGATTGTCCTAGAGGTCTTTTCCAACCTAAATGATTCCATGATTCTATGATCACACCAAGCCACTTCATTGTCATCTGTTATGCACATGCAGCTTTGTCACGTCATTTGGGCCAAGAGACACAATTCAGTGGCCAGGCACAGAAGGATTAAAGAAAACCTCAGTATGCTGGTGAAGCAAATCCAAACTCCCTAAAGGATCTTGAAGTCTTAAAGGAGTGGTCCTTCAGATCAGGGGTGATGGAAGGACTTTGTTCTGCTGTATCCATTCTGCAGGGATGATTATGACTGAACTGAATGCATTCACAAAACCCACAATTTAAACACATTTTTAAAATGTGTCAAGGATTTATATACTACTGCTTGAGACAACTTCTAAAATGCAGGACTGTTTTTAATGTAAAGCCATTGCTACCTAGCAAGAAAACACTTTTGTATTCATATAAAGTATTTATTAGGTGTGAGGTTTTATAAATTGTTTCGTCCTGCAGCCTTTAAAAAAAAAAAACAAAACCAAAAAAACCAGCCTACTTTGAATGCATTACCAAGTATCCTGTGGAATATTTCACATAAAAGGAAACAGAAGATGTATAAATGTAAACAGGCTAATTGTATGCAGATATAAATTATGCATGTTGGTCTTATGAAAAAGCATCCCTGATTTGCAGGGGTCTTACTCAGCAGCTTTGTGTCTTGTCTAAGGGGATATTTAGTATGGCTGTGATGTGCAGAATTTAAAATAAAACTTTGAATTCTGCAGAAGAAAAATACAGTCCGACTGTGGTAAGTCTATACTGTTGGGAGTAGGAGACCTTTATTTATTTTATTTTATTTTATTTTATTTTATTTTATTTTATTTTATTTTATTTTATTTTATTTTATTTTATTTTATTTTATTTTATTGGCTAATTTAATTAAATTTAATTTCACTTTATTTTATTACATTTATTTTGCTTATTTTGTTTTGTTGGCTGTTCTGCTCATTAGCCCCATTAATGCATGTATGCCTGCCCACAGACACAGAGCCAAGWAAAAGACTGTGTTAAGACTTAACGTTTGCAAAGGGATTATGGTTATTTTGATGTTTCTTAACATGGATATGTAAAATATTCTCAAAGTCACAAACCTTTTCATGGTTGAAGCATTTCTGATTAGTCCCAGACACGAGCAGCCCGGGCTGCAGAGGTGCGGAGCAGCTGCAGTTCCCACCAACCGCCCCGGGGACAACGTGGAGCCAGCGCTGGTGGGGAGCCAGGCTAATCGGGACAAATTCTAGAAATGGTTGAAACAGGTCCCTGCTCAGACAAAACCATGCCACTCGCTGCCTTTTCCCCCCAGACCTCTCCAGTGGGAGAATCCCACAAATAGCAGCAGCAGCAGCATATTTGAGCTCAAGCTGCAATATTCATGCTGAGGGATCCTTCAAAATGGGAGTAGGATTATGAATCCCTTGGATACCCCCTGTGGGTATGACTCACGTCCACRTTTGCTGTCTTTCTGGCACGGATTAGTGAAATGATGCTGAAASTGGAGGCACGGGCAAGAAGGTTAATGGAAACAAGTCTGTGGAAACACAAAGTAACGCAGCTGAGGTGGAACCAAAACTCAAGGAGCTCGTTGCACTCAAGTCGAGGTGACTGGTAATCTTCATCCTGAAGTTCTGGAAGAACCAACACATGTATTCAAAGGGCCTGAAGCTATGATTTTTAATGRATCTATCAAGCCAGGGTAATACAGAATGATTAGGGAACAGTAAGGGATGAGGGAAGAAACATATTGATCCAGGCAATGACGGTCCCATCCGTTTGCTCAGTCCTGGTTGGGATGTGTCTATTAAAAAACAGATAAAAGGGTACTTCAGTGTTAAGTGACAGTACAAAAGCATCAAGACAAAGTATAAACACAGAGAACGGAATTTTTTCAATTGGAAAAAATGTCACAAAACAAAATGCAGTCTTCATTACCACTTCTGGCAAAATAGATTCACAGTGAATGGTTCAGTAATAAAACCCCGACAGCTTGTGACAGTGTGCGGTGGCACACAGCTCCATTAAGAGGAGCTACTGTACCTAGATATTCCAACCATGCAGACAAACAGTGTTGCTGTTTCAGAAAGCTGGAGAAAAAAAAAAAAAAAACAAAAAAGCTATTTCTGACTCGTTGTCTATTGCTTCTCCTGCTACATTGTGCGATGGGGCAAGAGGCACAGCTTCCATATTCACCTGCCATGATAAATTACATCAATTTCAATCCCTCAAGACGGAGCTACTGGTGCAGAGAGCCACTAAACACTACCAGTTGCTTTGTGCTACAGACATCAGACAGTTAAAGGCACACTGTGCAAGTGAAACTCAACCCTGTATCCTGGGACACAAATGTGACACAGGCTGGACACAAACAAGGGAGGGAAAGTGGGATACTTCCTTCACTCACGCATTGTAAATATGTCCTCATCCTACAGCATCCTTTGCTAAGAATCTCTACTCTGTTAGAATAAGCCTTGAGACAGCCATTGGCACTCTGACCCYGCCAGCTTTTCCATCTCCAGCAATGGCCAGTACCAGCTGCTCTAAAAGAGAACAAAAAAAAAGCCCGCAGCCAGCAGCTATTCAATAACAGCGCCTTAGGGGAAGTTTCTTCCCAAGCCTCATTAGGCATTGGCTTCATTCTTAAATTCCTTTTAAACTTCTCAGATTCTATTCTGGCCTCTTTGTCTGGTGTCTGCACTGTGGACTGGACTTTCCAGCAAGGACTTTCCTTGGCTGGCCCCAGCAGCTTCYGAGCCCACACTCACAGCTCCAGCAGGGAGCAGAGCCTGTGCACCTCGTGTTCCAAGTGACTGATGGGGACAGCCACCCCAGTGCAGCTCATGGCTGCTCTACTTAAATGCAAATGAAAGAGGATTTCCTTTGCTTGATTCCCACTGACTGCCATCAGAGTTCTTCCCTTTTTCTTTTGGGTGAGATTTCTTCTTGGGGTTTGGGCAGCAGGGAGAGGGAGCACTTTACAGCCCTTCTGGGACCCTGTCTAAAGCGCTCCATTGTGCAGCCAAAGAGAGTGAGTGCATGTCACCAAGCTCCAGTTGACTCTGCATTTCACAGCAGGGTGCACCTGGGCATTCAGAGGCAGAAACAGCACTCAAGAATAGGGAGAACCATAAATTGTTAGCGAATTAAGGCCCTAAGGGTTGTTTAAATATTGCAGTAATCATCTTGTCAGGCAAAGTCCCACATTCTGCTAAGATTAATCTGACATTCATCAGGAATGGCACAATAGAAGATTATTTAATTTGGATCACGCTGGACTGGAAAACTGGCAGGAGGACAGAAATGACCCAAATTGGAAACAATCTGCAGAGAGTGTGCCAGACAAGAAAAGCAAGCAGAGAGCAAGGAAGTGTGTATCTGTTTATTGGACACAGATACATTAATTGCAATGTATACACACACAAATTAACTTAAATGTCTTGCACACAAACACACAGGGCCATAGAAATTTCTGAGATAATTTAGTATTGGTCTAACTCCATTTTGGTATCAACTCTTTGGGATTCTGCTCTAGGCTTGAATGAGGGTAGAGTGGGACTACTGACAATARTTTTTGAGACATGTCTCCAGTATCACTTCTGCCCATTTGTTAAATTCCTTCCTCATATTTCTGAAAAGGGAAACAGCCTCAAACATCTTATACAGATCCTGGAGTAAACACCAGACTTTAGGTGAATTACTTTCAGGACAGAAGTGTTCTCTTGATAGATCCTATATTTTAATTATTGAACAGTTTAGTGGTGCAAGAAATGTGTCTGCTCTTTTTAAAGTCCTTTTTAAAAGTGACTGCATCAGTGGACAAGGGAAGGACTACAGATGGCATTTATCTGGAATCCCCCAAAAAAGAAGGGCACRGATCTGTTTGATCAAGTACAGAGGAGGGACACCAAGATGCTCAGAGGGATGGCACAATCCTCCTGTGAGGAAAGCTGAGACAATTGGGGTTGCTCAGCCTGGAGAAGGGAAGTCTTCATGGTGACTGAATTGTGGCTTTTCAGTACCTGAAGGAAGCCTACAAGAAAGATGGAGAGAGTCGTTTTACAAGAGCATGTAGTGATGGAACAAGAGGGAACAGCTTCAAACTGAGTAGGTTTAGATTAGATATAAGGAAGGAATGCTTTACTGAGAGGGCAGTGAGGCACTGGAACAGGTTGCCCTGAGAAGCAGTGGAGGCTCCAACCCCAAAAGTCTTCAAGACCAGGTTGGATGGGGCTCTGAGCAACCTGGTCTAATGGAAGGTCATGTCTGYCCATGTCACAGAAATTGTAACTAGAGAATCCTTAAGGTCCCTCTAAACCAAGCCATTCTATGATTCTGCGACATCTTTCTATGATTCTTCTGGCAACTTCACTTATAAATCCTCTCTCCAGCTTTCCTAACCATTGCAGAATTTTTTTCATATTGCTGTAGTTTTCCTATATGTTCAAGTAAAGATAAATCTCCTAACAGCTGCATATACGTTATTGGCTTTCAACCCAGAGAAAATGAAAAATAAAAACACATTCCCCTGGATCATTGCCATTTTTTACCAAATAAGTTACTTAGCTTATTAAACTTGTCAAACAGCAAATACAAAGAAAATGATGGTTTATCTTACTGATTATTCAGCCACTGCACGTTGGTGTGGGTAAGYGCATGACTGAAACATTTATCACTGCTCACAAGATATCTCTACTCTGCTTTCCTTTCTTCCTTTACCATTACCATGGAACATGACCTCCCCTCCATGTTCCCCACCTCCTACGAGAAAATTAGAGTTCTTTAGAGAGAAAAAGTTTTAAATAAAGTGTAAAATATTAATTCTTCCGCAAACAGGCATATTTACAAAGGCTTTCAGATTTCCTAACAGTTATCTGCTGTATCYGTAAGCTAGCAAACAGTGAAGATAATTTAGGGCTTTGAATACCAGCACTGAACATAATCAATGTGAATMAGACCCACATTACCAAATTGAAGACATTTCATGTATACATTATGTCAGATCATGAAACAGATTTGTGTAAGCTAGAATATTGGAATACACAACGATTCACAAATTCAACCACAGCCACACCAGTATATGATCATGTTACGTATAAAACAGCCATACAATGCAGCAAACTGTCAAATTGAGAGACATTTTTGCTTTCAGGACATCTACAGGGCCAGGTTTATATGGCACATTACTGCCAATTCATCTATACCCATCTGAGTAAATCGGTTGGCAGAGAGGGGCAGATTACCACTAATGGCTCTATTATGGAAAGAAGCTGCAACCATTAGCTATTTTACATATGGACAAAAGAGAATTTAATTGATGGCCCATCGCCCAGCAGGCAGAGAGAAATGATGATTTTCACCTTAATGCCAGGCATTAAAAATTCACAGGGCTGTGGAAGAAAGAGATGTTCATCCAGTCTCACTCTGCTTATGGGTCATTTTATGCATAACTTGAGAAAAGCAGCACAAGGGGARCTGTTCTGCTTTGAGAAAGCTTGAGTCATCTGGGAAAAAAATTCACACGTTGTAGTGATCCAATGTTATGAAATACTGGGGCACTCTTATTTTTCTTAGCTACAGTTTTATCTTTTCCAAACAGTATCCAAGCATTCAGAAAAAAAAAAAAAAAACCCAACATTTTTTGGGTGTTTATATTAGCAAACGAAGGAATGATGAAGGTTTTTTGAAGGTATAGTGCATAATAATAATAATACAATTTATTTTCACATATTTAAATACGAATGTATGCTCGTGTACTTACATATAATATTTACTTAATTTAGCATACATRGCAGGTTTATCTGCATTTGTATGTCTTCAGATTTTCATTTTCCCAAATGCAAAAAGCCATTGCACTGTAGTGTTGTATCTAGTGTTTGCATTATTCTTGTAGGTAAAGTCTTACCTTCCATGTTCAACCCAGAAGTTTTTCCTTATGCCTCTCCTCCTGGAAGACCCCTACARTCTTTGTTGTCTTCAGGATGTCTGCTTTCCTCACTTCATCTCCTACAAAATGGTGAAGCGTGGAAATTCAGGGAACTCCAAGCATGAGAAGCGCTCACCCTGGGGTAAGTCACAGATTTTGATGCTGAGGCACCTCTCCTTCTTCCTGCCTTCCTGTGAAGGTAAGGAATTACTGCTGGGTTTGCAGCAATTTCTAAGATCATCTAAGATAAGCTCTTCCCTCCAGTCCAAAGTCACTGCTGGTTATTAGTAAACTTTGAGAYAGTTATGTTTGTGACTAAAGAGCACAGTGGCACAGCAAACCATATGCTCTGCAGCGCAGGGACCATCCAAATGGAAAACAGAGCTGCTGAGCTGGAGAAAGAGGCAAATATACAAGTTACATGGCCGGTGGCAAGAACTTTTTACATCCCCAACTGATGTAACAGGATAAAGTTAATCTGTCATGTCCATAATTTGTATTTTGTATGAGCAGAGGGGGAGTTGTAAGAATATATGAGCCTTGTCTCTTTTATGCTCAGATAGCTAGATTCAGGCTGAAAATCTCTAGACAGGTTGGTCTGCATACAAAACCTGACTTGTCAGGCTAGAACAAAGAACAGACAGCTTTTTGAATTGGAGACACTAGAATAGAAATGAGATCACAGTGCTTACTGTTGTAAAATTGGACAAGGTAAATAGAGAAGGGAAAGTGTCTGTATACAATGCTAGACACAGTAGTGGAAGGWTTTTTTTATAACATGTGCAGGAAASAGAAGGTTGATAAGTCATTCAAATAAATTTCAGAAGGAATTGCTCATGGTCATTGCAGAAAAGTGGGGAAAATGGTGAGGTGGGGAAAAGCAGACTAATAACAGACTATTCCAATTGTTGTTGTTTTTCTTTTCCAACATTTTGTCACTTTTCTGGAAGCAGAAGTTGCCTTCCTTAGTCCGGACTTCATTGCTTTAATCCATAGCATTGGAAGGCAAAAAATAGGTAAGAGTGGCTGTCAGACAACTTTGTTCCCTGCTCTTTCAAAGATTCAGAGCACTTGGCCAGAGCCCTCACTGGGCAGCTTAAGGGGGGTTCAGTGCCCTCCCTTCAGAGTCCTCCASTCCTAACAACCCTTAGCAAACGGATACTGTGGGGTCTCTTTTACAGGATGGTGGTGTGAGGTTTGTTGCTGGCAGAAACCGGTTATCTCAGTTCCTTTAGTCACTCTGGTCCTTTCTCAGTAAGAAAAGATTTAGATCAAAGTGAAGATTTCACCCCAGAAGTAAGGAAAGCTGTACTTTTACCTTTCAGATAGCCAGCTACTGCTAACCCAAACCAGATRCAGCAGAGACTCCAGTGGTAGGTGAGGGAATCACTGCTTTTGTCAGATCTGGTCTCTCCAACAAGGTCCATGTGCACATTCCCACACAACTGTGATAATTGAGTGGGTATTTGCATAACAAGATCAAACATCTATCAGTCATTTAGACTTTCTGRTAAGGAGGGTGCATCCACGCTGCATCCAGCAAGAATTATATAGTGATGGAAGTGTGGAGTTTGTTCCTTTCTAAAGAATTAAGGCACACTGGAGAAGTGAAACTGTGTGTTCATTTTAAAAACACTGACATCCCTAGAGATTTTTGACATGTCAGCATCGGAAACAGGAAGGCTGGAGAGAACAGCCAGCAGTAACAAGGAGCAATAACCATGTGTCCTTCTCCTTCCACTCTTCCTTTCTTCCCCTAAATGAGACATCTGATCAAAGGCTCTTGCAGAATTGCTAATGAAGACTTATTTTTTTATTTCCGTGGAATCCAGCACCCAGGGGAGSAATAAATGGGCAAGAAGGGTAAATCTTCACTGGCAAGATGATGTAAGAGCGGGAGTCTGCTGTGAGAGCAGTGCTGGGAAAGCACCTGCCACAATTCAGCATACCCTGATTATTTTCAACTGTTTAGGTTTTGAATTTCAAGACCTTTCTTTTGCATGTTTTATCAAGGCAAAGTTCYTTTAGGAGCCATCCCTAAAATATTTGTAAAGAACAGGAAAACTGAAAAACATTTCAAGCTGCCTCTGGTCAAAGGGAGAATATTCTCACAAAATAAAAAGATATATTCCTACTGTAAATAAGACAGATGCAGTTTCACCTGTATGATTTTACTATTCTGTCTTTGGCCTTGCATGCTGTCATCAAGAAGAGTGGATATCAGTTGTGTTCTTAATAAAAAACCAAAGAACAATGATTTCCCTTATTATACTCAAGATTGTAGTTCTCAAAATGAATAAAAATTATTCCTAATTTTCTACATGATTAAGTGAAGGCTCATGAGAACCTGCCCTAAGTGGATAAAAATATATAGGTACACAAATAAGAGGTACTAAGATCAGAATTTCTACATTCATGGAGAAGAAGGAACCTTTTTAGGATATGTGAAATTACTGAAGTATTTCATGTTCATGTTCATTTGTCTTTTTAATAAAAAGGGCAGAGAAGTGGAATTAACTGTTTCTGGCTTGATATCAAGGTTATGCAGGTTAAACTGAAAAATGTTAATGCATTCTTATAGGCAGTTAATGGACAGTTTGTGTAACCATTTCTTGACATGAAATTATATCGTATCTCTCTCACCAATACTGTAACTTGACTTTTAATGATATCAGCTGATTACATTCATCTATGCAGAGTAGCTCAGTTACTTATTCCTCTGATTTAGTTGTTTATTTCCTTGTACAAAAGGTACATTCTTATGGTATTTTTGTTCAAAATCAAATGAATTTTTCACCCTGTCTTTTAAGTATTACAAGAGCTGCAAAGAAAAGTACTTAAAAAGATATCAGCATGAAGTCTGTTTAAGCAAATATTGGTTTTGGATTAAACTTTCATAAGTGTGTCCAGCACTGATTTATACAACATTGCATAATATGATTTCAAACTGTCTATTACAGGTTTCTTTAAACTATATAGACATAGCCAGCAATTAAAGGCTTTTTGTTTAAGACCCCTGTTGGCTTAGAAAATCATGAAAAAGAAGCATTCTCAAGAAACTTTACATGATTAGTCTGAGAATGCAATGCCATTCCTGAAGCAAAATTCGTACCGAGTTTTTGTGGGACGCAGCTCGTGCAAAAATAGTCTTCTACCAGTTGTGTGAGTTGTACTAAAGCTCCATGCTCAACTAAGCCAACCAAAATCTCGTCAGGAAGGCGGGATGGAACTTTCACACCCACTGGCTCATTTCAAGCCTTGCCCACTGCAGAGCTGCTTTCCTGTCCCCTGGAAAGCTGCARTGTGCTGGAGATACCCAGACAAAGTTAGTTTCCCCAGARTGGTCCAATAAGGCACAATTCCACTTCRTCAGTAAAGCAAAYRACAAATCTCTGATTAACTTCTTGGRTCTTCCTCACTGAAGAAAATGATACCAGTTTTATGGTTTTATTCCATAAATGAAAACAACCTTTTGGGAAAAAACCCAAATATTCTGACTTTCAGTGAGCTCTGTGCAAGAAAACCAGTGTGCTTCAAGGGGAGCACACATCTTTAAACAACAAGCACCTTTACAGCTTCACTGACTTGCCAAAAGGCACCAGAGATGAAGGGAAATTCAAGCTGCCCCCATTGTTTTTAAGTGTTCCTATTCAAGTGCACCATCTGCCCAGGAATATGGTGCTTCTGAAGCCACAGGTTCTTCCATCACTTCAGGCCTCCTTTCCAGGGACACAGGGATCTTAGAGGGCATGTCTGTCCCCTACATGCTGACAGCTGACATCACCTGATCTCAAATCCCTTCTAGCAGGCTCCCAAGTTTGCCTGATCTCAGAAAGTAAAGCCTTTCTTTACAAGACTGCCTTATATTAACTCAAGGGAAATTAAAATGAATGACAATTTGTCAGGTATATTGAATTAATTTGTTAAAAATAAACAAGGTTAAAAATGGAAAAGAGTGTCACTTCCAGCAAGGCAAGAGGGAGTTTCTGATTGCACACTGTGAAAGACAGCTCACCAGAACAGAGTGCAAGGAAGGGATCCAATCCTACAGCACCCTTACCATCATTCCCTTGGTCACACTGTCTCCTAGGATTTGCTGTGTGCTATTTCTTGCTTCAATATCCCCAGAATTGGGGCGTTGGGACTTTTGAATGTAAAATAAGGTTTGCGTTTTCATAGTTTCTTTGAAAATCTGTTCATTTCTCTAATCTGCATTTCTCTAATGATCAATGTGCTTCACTGGGGTGTACCTTGAACCAGCTCCTTCACAACTGTGTGAACGTGAAACCCTTAAAGCCTCTCTAATATTGCTCCCTTTCATACRAAGAGGAGGTCTTGGAAGAGCCAATTTCCCTATTCAGATCTACTTTTCATCTTGAAAATCAAAAAAGCTGTAGTTTTCAGCTCACACTGTAATTTTTTTCTCAGTAAAGCTGTGGTTTTGTGTTGTGTGCTTTTTTTTTTTTTTTACCTCGGTATGAAGAAGATCCATCAGAATTTAGTTTTATTTTMTGTAAATCACACACAACATGTTAAAACTCATTGTTAGTTTGAGGTTTAGTCACACCCAGCTAGACTGAATGCCACAACTCCTAATATTTTCCTGCCTGCTTATTTTTTAAAGTGAGAAGATATGTGAAAAGCTGTAATGTTCTTTAAACACAAGTTATACAAAAATCAAGACTGAGCTATTTTAACAAAATAGGCATTTTGTTAGTCCTACATCTTTAAGATAAAAGGATCCCAAACAAATTGAGGAGAAGTAAAAGATAAATGGGTCTTTATATCCTCTCACAATATCTAAAGAACCCCTGACAATGTAGGCAAATTGTCCGCAACTCCAATGCTGATCAAAAAGGAACTACAAAACATATGCTTACAGGAATGAAGGATCAGTATTGGCAGTGTTAGTAGGAAGAATATTAGCTATATACAAAAAACCATCTTGAGTTTTGGAACTTCACCACATCATTCTAATTTTACAGTCATCAGGCTTAACTCTCATTGCAATTACATGTGGTCCAAAGCAAGAAGAAAAGTGAAATAATTCAGTTCAACAAAGGCTTCCAGACTGCAAGAGAAAAGACCAAGGGTAGAAAATGAACTCTCTGCTGCACTGATCAGTTTAAATCTTCCTGCTACTGTTTAAGATACTATTCAGTACAAAATAATCTCATACATCCTTCCACTC